TTTGAGGTTCATCTTCTATTTTCCAAGCCCTAGAATCAGCCATGTCTCTACCCTAGTTTCTTTTAGAGTAGAATGGTATTTGGAATCTAAGATCTGGGTGTCAGGTGTGCTCATTGCTTTTGGGGTGTCATTGCTCCAACATCCTCAAGTGACAGGCCCAGGGAATATATGTATGCACACACACATACACATATTAATTTATGCACATTCATGTCTTTATTTCTACATGCATCTGTATTTACATCAACAATGACATGGGCTCATATTAATGCCTTCAGTACAATCCAATGTTACTGGCACATTCTACTTTTTTAATATTTGTACTTCTCTTCACTGTCAGTGAGAAACTTGACTCCTATTATCCTTACTATGTGTACTTATTTGATCAATCGCCTTGTATGTGACCAATCACCACCATCATTGACATCATCACCCCACCTCTCCTCACCCTGCCAGTATGTCAACATCCTGCACTTGGACATCCCCCCTCAGTTGGATGCTTTCCTCTCTCTGCTCAGGTCTGGTACCATGCACTGTGCCATGATAGCTGCCCTCTGTGCATTGCTGACAGCTTGCAACAAGTTGTTCCTGTTCCCCTCTCACCTCACTTTGGATCCCTCTGGCAGATCTCCTATGTGGATCATCCCTCCACCAACTCTCCCAAGCTCTGTTACATTTCATTTTGATCCAGTTTAAGATTGTCTACAAACTGACGTTGGTCTCAATTAACTGCAGCATTTTGATCCAAATGCTATGCATTCTTTCGGGGGTGTGCTGTTTTCCTTCAGCCAATAGTATATTTCATTAATCAGGGATCCATAGCCTTTTCAGCCCCGGCTTTCAAAAGGGCATTGCCATGACATTGTTTCTTTAAGTAAACTGATTAATTACAGTGTCAGAAGAATGGTCCAATATGGCACCTACTCAAATGCGAAGCCAGATAACTTTACAAAATCTGCAACGAATGGATTCTAGGGTCCTCAAGCTGAGTCAGGAAAGTAAACTTTCTGGGGATTGGGGATGTGCAGAGTGGGTGGTGGTGATTATTGATCCAATTACACATTTAATACCCTTGGATGTAAGAAAAAAAGTGACTTGACACTCTCAAGGGTTAAAAATATCTACCCTCATTTTTTTACAAGAGTTGCAAAAACGTTTGAAAGAAAATAGTACATCTGACAACAATATTTAAATATATGACTTTTGAAGACAATCCTTTTCATCCGCCAAGCTGAGTTAAGATCTAACTAGTCTTGAAAACCTCAGAGGAAGACTTTTCTTCCCTCTCCCCTCTGACCTGGCTTAGGAAAAGCAGCTTACAAACTATAATGTGCGATGCAATGATTTTTGTTATGAGGTGGTGGTTACGGTATTTAGGCAGGATTAACAGACATGAAGTTTCTTCTTGTGGCATATCCATTTGTGATTCTTGGGACCAAGTCAGGTTTTTTTCAGTCCCTGTCAGTTTGTTTTCTCCTTCCAGTGTTAATGACAGCTCTGAAAGATGCATTGAGCTAATTTTCCTTGAACTTCAGCCATCCCTTGTGCTTCTAAGGGTTTATTAGGAAAGTATGAACATTTTTTATGCCTTATTTGCTAATGAAACAGAGGGAGCTCTTTGTGAAGCATCTTAGATCTTTTGTCACAATTTGTATTTTTGCATGGAAAATGCTTAACCATAATGAACTAAACAACTATACAAGGCACTCTGATAATTACTAGGGGCCTTAACTAAGACAGATTTATATTAGAATCTGCTTAGAGGCTTAGTTAAGTCTCTTAACTTCTCTGAACTTTACTACTTCATCCTGATTTTCCATCTCATAGCACTGTAATCCTAGGCAAGTTATTTAACCGTTCACCAACTGCTTCCCCAGCTATAAAATGGGCATACTAATAGTACATACCTAATGAGGTTTTTATGAAGATTAAATAAAGCAATGCTAATGCAGTGGTTATCATAGCACCAAGTATATAGTCAGGGTGCAATAAAAGCTTGCTGTCTTAGCTATCACTTAACTCTGGGATCTTACATGGTTTTGTAGTTGTTCTTCAAGGGAAGCATGTTTGCATAGCTCAGGGACGGTTTGGTGACTCTGCAGTGATTCACAGTTCTGCTGTCTGTAGTGGAGACGAAAGGTAATTGGCCCTTTTCATTGCTATCAACCTCAGTCACCAAGGGAATTTGTTACCTTTTCTCATTGAGTAGACAAAAAGTTAAGGAAGATTTAGTTTTCTCTTTAACCTGTGGAAACTCCAAGCTTTGGATGTATTTTGTAAATTCTGGAAAGAGTAGGATGTATTCTAACACACTCTTGGTGTTAGAATAGCCGCAGAATGTGTATTTGTGCTGAGCCACATTGAGAACTTGCTGAAGTTGGAGACATAAATTGATGGTTGCACCATTAGGTGCAAATATGTTAGTTTCTTCAATAGCACCTGGAAACAAAGAGCAGAGGAAATCAGAAGTTGGTATAAAACAAAGTTAGATTTTGATGAGGAAGAAATGAGGTGTTGAAAGTGGTGGTTTAAGGAGATGAATCATGGCTGGGCAGAAAAGGAGGTAAGGCCAGAGAAATGCTGATAGATTATCATAAAACCAAAGGCAGAGAGAGCAAGGGACCGGAAGTCTTTGCTAGGTTGAAGACCCAAGGTACTGAGTATAAAGGTTTGACAGAGAATATAAAACTTTAGTGGGATTTTATAATTTTAATATTTTGGTCTTGGCTGACTTAAGCATAATAGATATTTTTGGTTATGGTCTTGAGAGTGAGGTGAGGGGGAGAATAAGTGGAATGCCATTAGAGTTGAAGGGATTAAAGTTTGAAGCCAGAATGTTCAATGGATTATCCCTGATCACTGCTAAAGTTGGTGGAACTCGTCAGTACCCCAGGGTTCTTTGGGTTCCTGCCTGAGAGACAAATCTCTTCTCCAGGGAATGGGAGCCAGGAATGATCTCGCCCTTTGAATGAGTTCCTGCTTGCTATTACAAGGAGAAAAGGAAGAAAAAGGAGGAAGAAGAAGAGGAGGAGTAGGAGGAGTATGAGGAGAGGAAAGAGAAGAAGTAGGTGGAGGAGGAGGGAAGCAAAGAAGGGGAAGGAAGGGAAAGAAACAAAGAGTCCTAGGCCAAAGTGGTTTTTCAACGCCCTTGCAAATTTCTGACAGGCCATCATGCCTGTCACGTCTGAATCTCTTTTGACTCCGGTTGTGAGCCTACTGTCCCCCCTGACCCACTTATATGACAGGAAAAGGGGCTGTTACATGGCCAGGGGGCTTTAAGGTTGCAGATGGAGTTAAAATTGCTAATCAGCTGATAAGGAGATTACCCTTGATGATTGGAGCAGGCCCAATGTAATCGCAGGGTCCTTATAAGTGGAAAAGGGAGGAAGAAGAGAGAGTGATGTGACGTGAGAAAGAATCAAGTGGCCATTGCTGGCTTTGAAGATGGGGGAAGAGGGCCATGAGCCAAGGAATTGGGGCAGTCTCTGGAAAAGGCAAGAAAACAGATTCTCCCCTTGGTCTTACAGAAGGGAACACAGCTATGCTAACCCCTTGATTTTAGCCCAGTGAGACCCATTTCAGATATCTGATCTCCAGAACTGGAAGATAATAAATTTGAGTTGTTGTAAGCCACTAAGTGTATGGTAATTTGTAACACCAACAACAGGAAACTAACACATATCCCTTGAAAAGTCTTGGTGTCTATGTATCCTACTTTGAAGTCCTTCAAGCTACTCATCCCAGGCCTGTGAGGACCCCCTTGCATTTGGGCCACTGCAGTTGACTTGGCCGTCCTGTGCCCCCCATGCAAGGTTGGGTGAGCTGGCATCCCAGACCTTTGCTGAACACATATGGTTGGCTGGCAGCCAGGGAAATCTCAGTATCATGGCCAAATTCTTCCTGAAGAAGAAGGAGGCTTGTGAAAAATCTTGGCTGGACTAGCCCGGTGAAATCTCAGGATGCCTGGCAAGCGCCCTGGTGTGTGGCATTCACTCACTGATGTACAAGCTCGGGCCTCTGAATGAGTGGATGCCCCCTCCACGGGCAGCCTGTGCAGGTAAACTGGATAAATACTTAACACCTGCTTGGGCTGACTTTCTTCCTCCACTCTCCTGCTTTCCTTTTGGTGAATGGAAGAGAGCCAGGAAAGATGGGGTTATAAAACTGGGGAAGCCCCACAGAGCACTGCATCTTCAGAGGGGCCCACCAGCATTTGTTCTGGTCATCTCGTTGCACAGATGAAGGGACTTGTCCAGGCTTAAACGAGCAGAATGTCTCAGACCACTTCCCTTTGTGCAACTTGGCATAGAGGAAAACTGCCTGTTCGTTTTTCTAATGGAAGTCTTAGCCTGCCCTGGGAGAGAATCCCACAGCGGTGCTGAGTGGGATTCTCGATTGAGAGAGCAATGTCAGGGAAAGTTCAGGAACTTGGAGGAGGACGGCAGGGAAGGGGGCCCCCCCGCACTGAGCTGGGGAGGCTGGAGGGAGTGGGGTCCCCTCTGCCCCACCGCGGCACTCGCCGTTCAGCGGCTGAGGGGCTGGCGGGGCCTCTGGCTCGCAGCCGCCCCTGGAGCCGGCGGGGAGGCCCGGCCGGGTCGCCCCTATTTGGCCGCTCGGCGGGGCGGGGCGGGGCGGCGCGGGGGCGGGGGCCCGGGGGAAGATGCGGGCGGCGGAGGGGTGGGGACCCGGGTGGGCTGCGCCCTCGCCCTCACCCATTCCCACCCGCCGAAAGCAGACGCTGTCAGCCGAATCGCTCCCCTCTCAGGAGGAGGGAGGGGAGAAAGGTGTCTAGCCCCCTTCGGCTTAAAAACGCTGAGGGGACTCGCGGCCGCTCCTTCCCGCGCCCGACCATGCCCCCCCGCACCTCCCTGCTCGGCCGCGGGCGAGGACTTGACTTCTGGAGCTGAGGGCTAGAACTTTTTTGACTTTTCTTCTCCTCAACAACCGAATCATGCCATGTGCCCAGAGGAGCTGGCTTGCAAGCCTTTCTGTGGTGGCTCAGCTCCTTAACTTTGGGGCGCTTGGCCATGGGGGGCCGCCTCAGCCAGGCCCGCTTCGCTTCCCGGACAGGAGGCAAGGTTAGTGGCTTTTCTTTATCTGCTTTTGAAACCGCGGCAGTAAGACATGTGGAAATTTGCTCCCCTTTCCCATCCCCCGCCGGCACAGCTGGGCTCTGCAAAGCTCGGTGGCGGAGGCTTTCTCAGACTTCAGTGGTTAAGACGGCGATTCCTTCATTCTCAGCGAAAGGTGGGCACCTCGCGCTCCCTTTCTTCTACGGGGATGACACTGCAGTCTTTGAAAGCCCCAAGAGGCAGCCGGTAACCTTCTCCCTCTCTCTTTTGTCTCCTGTTTGAATGGTGCACTGCTTGAACCTTCTATTTTTCAGACCCTGATCACGGAAAATGATTTTTTTAAAAAGTCCCAACTGGCCACTGGCAGTCATTGCAGTGTTTCTAGTTTTAAACTTTTAGTCAGGAAAGGGGAAATGTGATTCCGCCCCCCTGCTGAGCCGGCTTGGCTGTGTTTGGGTTTCCTGGAAAGATTTAGGGTTGTGTTTTTAAAATAACAGTCCTTGGTGGGGGGGTGGAATTTACCTCCACAGGGGCCCACTTTTCTCTGTCCTGCATCGGCGATCGCAGCTGGCTGCTCCTCTTTCCGAATTGCATGAAACCCATCATGTTACAGAAAGCATCGGAGGGCTTGTGGTGGACAATTTGTTATTATGATGATGATGATTTTTCTTTTAAGCCCAGCACTCTGAGCAGAGAGATACATTTGTCTCTGCTTTTTATTGGACGTGAGTCAGAGACACTTTCCTGTTTGGTGGGAGTTCGTCGTGCCTCTGGGGGAAAACAGGCATGGCAGCAGTAATGGCCATGTGGCACTCTGTGTGTCAGCCCGTCTGACCACTGACAATAGCCTTATGGGGTGCAGGTACAGTCCCTGCTGTACAGATGAGGAAGCTGATGCCTGGGAGAGTTTGTGAGCTTAGCTAAGAGTGGAGCAAGGTTTTGAGCCCAGGTAGCCTGACTCTTACAGTCACCCAGCACTGTCCCATTGCAGTAATAGTGATTACACACACACACACACACACACACACACACACACACACACACACACTCACTCACACACACTCGCAGAGCACTGGGTTTGCATCCGTTAAGTCCTGTATTTGCTGACTGTGCTCAAGTCTTGGGAAGTGTCCCCCCATAGCTTTCTGATATCCCTTTAATTCCCAAGGCCATTTGGGTGACAAACATCAACAGCCTGTCCTTGTTTAAGATTTCTAGGCAGCGTCTTCTGCCCTGGTCGCAAAGTTCAGATAGTGCTGGAGAACTCCTCTGCTGCGGCTTCAAGAGCTATCAGAAGCAAGTCCCTCCCTTTGCTTTACTTGGAAGCCAGAGCAGGCAAACACTGGGGTTAGATGTCAATCAGCACTCGCTTGTGTAAACGTTCCAGATACAATCTCCCACCCCCAAGTTTAAAATAGCAGCGCTGGTTGTTCTTTGAAAAACAGTCCCTTTGTGAAAAGTCTCTCTTCTGGGGCAGCACAAACAAAGCCTCCAAGCACTTCCCAGGGCATTTGGAGATGATTTGGTTCAAAGACACACATTATCCTGAGTTGGTTTTCAGCTCTGCTTGCTCTACATCATTTTTGTAAGGAAATTCAGCTTGGCGTGGAGCAGACACCACTGGGCTTTGCTTTTTCCTTTCTGGAAAATGAGATATGGTTATTTTCCCTAGGCACCTTTAGGGCCATGTGCTGGGAGTGTTCAATATTTTAAAAGAGTTGTAAAGTGCTCCAAACTTATTAGCAACACATTTTTATTTAGGTTTAAAAATAATTTCAGTTTTTAAAAGCGTTTTTACTAATCTTAGTCAATTCACTAGTGAATTTACAAGTAATCCACATTTGGTGCAAAGAAGAAGTTTCTAAGCAGACTTCCATTTAGAACCAAAGGTGGGGGGGTTTGGGGGAGGTGGGGGAGAGAAGGAGGGATGGATGAGGGTAAAGTAGTAGAGAATGACATTCTAAGGCTATCTGGGAATAGGATGGCCTGGGTTTTCCCTCCAAATGACTGTCTACAGCTTCACAATTAGCCAATCTCCTTAGACTTTCATTTCCTTTCTGACAATATTTTTGAATTGCACCCAAATTCTGTGCATTTAAACTTGCAAATTACTTAAGATATCATCTCACCATCCTTCTTAGTTTTACACATGAGGAATAGGAGGTCTGGGAGTCAGTTTGTTAGTCAACATATACTTATTGAGCACCTACTAAAGGCCACTTCACTAGTGGGGTGAAGGGAATTGCACAGGGTCCTACAGTTGGAGACAGATTTAGATACTAAATAACCTTCTAGTTCTAAGGGTTGGGCTCCATCAGTCAGGTTTTAGTCCTCAGGAGGATATGGAGATAAATCCAATTGTTTTCTGGGCCTAGCAACAGGCAGATTTGACTAATTCTGCCCAGTATTCTTTCCACATTGCTCAGTCGTGATGTAAGAATGTGCTGTGACTTCCACAAGATTTCTTGGTTCACAACCAAGTATCAGAACATTTAATGGGAAATACTACTCTTGCACAAACACACTGCCTCTCTTCTACAGCCAGTAATATCCCTTTGGGTTTGTTACCTCTGTACTGTTTACAAGGCACTGGTCATTGCCATGATCTCTTTTGCTCCTGACAACTCTGTGAAATCAATAGGGTAGGCACTTTATCCTATGTTGCAGATTAGTTATCGCAGGGTTGGTGAGCAAATCCAACTTTCTGTGGCATATTTTACGACTTCGAGGGGCCCAACACAATTCTTCACAACATTTCAACATGTGTAAATTCTATAATAAAAATACAGTTGTAGGTTACAATGATCTCACATGGAAGATAATTATGAAAAAACCCTCCATTATAGGAATTTCATTACTTTTTTAGTAAGAAGTCTTAGAAATCCAATTGTTCTCTAAGACAGAAATAAATATAAAGAATAAGTATAGGTTGTGCTCGCTTTGGCAGCATATACACTGGAACGATGCGGAGAAGACTAGCATGGCCCCTGCTCAAGGATGACGTGTAAATTTATGAAGTGTTCCATAAAAAAATACCTAGAGGTTTAACCTAAACTTTATAAAAATTGATAGGTAAACATTCTCTTACCTCTTTCTTTCTAAGCTGAGGGTAAAAGATCCCTTGGTGTTTTGTATTTTCAAAAGCACTTGTGCCAACAGGCCTCCCTCAAAGTTTCTTATGAAGTACCGTGGAAATTTGTGGCCCAGGGTTTCAAATCCAATTTTAAACAAGGCAAATCAAAGTATTTGGGGCTGTTAATTTATTTCTACAAACCCGCGTGCAGGTTGTGATGTAATTTCAATGTGTCTCAGCCACTCCCCCAGCCATATTGACAAGGCACCTTGACATCTGGCGCTCAGTGGTAGACCCTTGAGAAGCAGTGAGGGCAGAGCTTGGGAGTGTGGGCTCTGGGGTTAGATTGCCACAGATCCTCACCATTAATTATTGTCACTTTACGGAGATGGGAGTGGAGGCTCAGCTAAAGGACATGATTAATAATACCTCACCAGAGAAATGTGGGGATTGGACAAGACCAAGCTGGTATACTCTTAATGTGGTACTTGACCATAGAAATGGTGAAAGTTATGAGCTGTTGCTATTTCCTAACACCCATTTCTCCATCCCTGTCATATCCCCTTTGAGTTGTGCTTTCTGTTAGCCAGGATTATAGCTAACTAATCTGCCAAATTCAATACCTACTGAGAGGAAGCCAAGGTGAGCGTGGGCTTCTTCTGACTCTCTGCTCTTGGGAGTTACACATGTTTATGTCCACAGTGATGCCTGGTAGCCAAATTTCTCCCTTTAATACCAACAATACTAGTGTTTAGCTAATGAATGTTATTCGTGAAGCAGTATTTGAAATAGATTACATATATTAATACATTGGAGCCTCACAACCAGCCTAGGAGGTCGATACTATTATTATTATGCCCACTGTCTAGATGAGGTGGCTGCGGTTGAGCCGCCCACATAAACCACACTCTGTAAGTGACCTCCTGTTTCCAACCACACCTGAGGTCTGCCTTGGCTTAGCTGCCTCCTTTGCAATCAAATCAGGAGGAAAAACGGATACTGTCCCCTTTACTCTGACTGATAAAGAGACAATTATTATCTCCATTTATTGCTGAGCAAACTGAGGCATAAAGAAGTCAAGCAGTTCTTTTCTGGTCAGATCATCATCCCTAGGGACAATGTTATAACCTATAACTCTTTTCCAAGGGCAATTGCTCTTTCTTATGGACATGAAGTGCAGTGGCTAAGAACATGATATTGAAAGAGGAAGCCAAGGGTTTCAATCCAAGTAACGTTGTATAATGTTGCATAGTGACTTCTTAGACTCCGTTTCCTTATCTATGGAATGGCGCCAACAACTGGTCTCTATTACAGGGTTGTTGTGAGTATTGAATGAGGAGAGACTTGTGGTACCTGGCTCATAGCAAGAGCTTATTAAATGGTTACTGTAATTATTATCATTATGTTATTACACAGCCAACTTAGTTTGGCTTTCTTAAAAATCCATTAGATCAAAAGGCAACTGGGTCAGACTCTGTTGATTTTCTTTGTTCTTTTATTCTTTTGCCAATAGGTGCTGGGGCTTAAGCAAGGTTTAGTCTTTCATTTTATGCATTCAAAAATCATGTTTAAATCTTTGAGATGTATCTTCAGAGGCAGTCCTTATACAGGATAGTTTAAGTCAGTACATTTATGGAAAAAGATGTATTGTTCTCTGAATAACTTGAAATAAATCCTCCACCAAGTCCACTTCCTCTGCACTCTTCCCATTGCAGTTCTTCTAACTTAGATCTGGGGTTATCGCTCCTCTTCGCTGGACAGCTCAGGGAGCTGCATCCTGCAGAAGGAGTACCTAGCTTGACATTTAGGGCTGCCTCTACCCTCTGGCCTGCTTTTTCTCCAGCCTTAACTCCTGTAATGCTCCGATTGATCTGTTACTCCAAACTCATTTTGCCTTCCTATTGCCTGAGAGGACCCAGGCTTCACTGAGGCTGTCCCGCCCTTCTCCAGTGACTGTCCTCTTGGGTCGGTCATGGGGTGCCTCCTCTAAGGTTAATTCTTCCCCTGGGATGCAGCCAGCTGTGATGGGCACGGTCAGCAGGGCACTGGGCATTGGGAGCCCCTGCCGTAATATGGCACCACCTTATGTTGTGGAGCATCGACATCCCTTGCTATCTCCCCTACCGGGTATTCTTTACAGACCTCTCAGAAGCCAGCACAAACCCTCTTGCAGCCAGTCATTTTTCCCTATTTATCTTTTTTTAAAATAATTTTTAATTCTGTTTTTGGAATTCACACGTAATAATTGTACGTATTTATGGGGTTCATAGTGATGTGTCCATACATATAATGTATAATGATCAGATCAGGGTAATTAGCATATCATCATCTCAAACATTTATCATTTCTTTGTGTTGGGAACATTCAATACCTACTTATCTTTAACTGGGAAAAACAGCATAGGAAATACAAATTTCAAAAGGAAAAATCATATCTCACCGCTGTGACAATTTTCTCTTTTACACAGTATCTCAAAGGCTTTGTTCATATGTATATATACATATATCTCACAGTTTCAATGATAGTGGAGACACTATTATACATTTATTACCCCTTTATTATTAGATCCTAGTTTTCCACATTTCTGCATGATGGCTAAAATTATTAAGTATACTAATACATCATGTTGATATATCACTTTACATAAATTATTTAGAGAAATTTTTTTAAATGTAAGATTGATTTAAAACTGCACTTGTTGGTCTCCATTTCACAATAACCTGAATTTATTGTGGTTGTATTGTGGATATAATAAACAAGACATTTTCAACTCTTTTCAATCTTGTTTAATAGGTTGTAGATCATTTAACTTGGAGGAGTATATTTAGAGTATATTTATTTAGAATTCAGTGTTTAAAAACATATTATCTGCTTTTAGTTTGTGTTCCTTTTAAATCGGTCAGTATGACTTACTGGAAAAATAGTATGTTAGAAAACATGCTTTTTTTCCTGTTTTGATGGAGACAAAGAGACTTGCTTATGTCACGGAGTATTAAAATGGGACTTCTCCGTAAGTCTGAGGGGGAAAAAAGGAGTTAATTTCCCACTCTTATTTAAAGAGAAATTTCAGACCATGCATGTGGAACTTGCAGGGTGATGGTGTGATTCTAATCCCTTCACCCTCTTGGTTTGTACATGAGGAGAGGCTTAAAGGTCAATGGAAAGATACAGAAGAGAGATTTCTTCAGCAAACGCTAAGGTGCTGGGGCATTTCCCCGATTGTCTCCCCGCAACTCGAGGCAAGTGAAGGGCCTTTAGAGATTTCAGAGAGTTTGGTGTGGGTTGGGGAGTATCAACTAGCATTTCAGCCTTAAAATACTGACAGGCAAAAGATTGGCTAGAATGGCATTTGGTGATAGAGCCAACCAACAGCATTATGCTGCCAGGAGTAGCCTGATTTCCTTGACATTGGGGAACAGGACGGGGCTCATGGTTGTTTCCTGTGAGCCAGATTTGGACCCCATGGAAAGGAACCAGATGTGGATCATCTTGAAGGGATGCTAAAGAGGATGCCCTGCAGGGTGAGGTGGCCTCAATAAGGGGGTAAAGGGAAGAAAGGCTGAGGGTGGCTATTGGGGGAGGAATTGCCCACATTGAGGGACCTGGAGGGGGACAATCCCAAGGGACAGACGTCTCCCAAAGCCCAAAGAGCTTCCCTTGAGAAAAGGGCTCAGCATCTGGATGTTGACCTCACACAGGGCACCGTTTACAGATGACAGCTATGCCCAGTTGAATAAAAGTTTTTGCCCCTAACTCCCTTCCTTGCTCCAACCTTGGAGGAGCCAGAGGCATCGATGTGAGTAGCAGAGAAGAGCAGCAAGAGGGAAGTACTACAAGAGCTGACTATGTCCACCTCACACGCCTGCCATTTCTCTCTGCAGTTAGGCCCGTACTTGGAAGATACCGATGCTAGATCGGCCCAGACATTTCTTGGAGAGTGAGTGGGTGGTAGAGAGGACTGAGTCAATTATACGCCTCAGTTCATGGCACACTAGCATCAATAATTTGTGCAAAAACTCTTTTTTTGTTTTGTATATTTATGCCTTTTGGTTCCCACTCCCTACTCTTCTTCCTCCCAGTGGAAAACCATTTTAATGTGTTCCATATGTGTTTCTTAGTTGCGTGTGTTCTGGCAAACTTTGTATTATTGTTTTTGAGTATGTGTATTTTCCGTTAATGTAAATAGCTCTGTATTAACTTGCTTTGTTTCTTATTTTTCATTGAGCATTATTTTTAAGATGTGTCCGTGTTGCTGTGTGGTCTGTTGTGCCTAACTGCTGCAGTTGGAAGTGATGGGTCTGGGCTTTTTATGCCTAAACATTAAAACTGTTTATTATTAATTATTATTATTAATAGTACCGGAGAGTGAAAACTCTGTGCTCTGCCCCATATTTCATCCAAGGCAGAGAAGAATGATTCCACAAAGTATGTTTGGAAACAGTTGTCTGGAAAAAAACTTTTTTGTAATGGTACCCCATGGAGTCCCGTTCTTTTAATTAACCAGCTATAAATGTGTTCATTGATACATCAACACATATGAACTGACCACCTGCGATGTGCAAGATTCTGGCCTCCAAAGGATTTGAAGATAAATAGTATATATAATAAATAAAGGCAATGTAAAATAAAGCCATTCTAGGGGGTACAGGAAGTAAGGGCAAGAGGGCTCAGGGGAAGGAGAGAGAACTTTAACCAGGGACATTAGGAGAATGAAGGGAAGGATTTGAGTTGGGACTTTAAGGATTTTGATAGAATGCAAAAGACATTCTAGTTGGAGAAGTAACGTGAGCAAAGTAAAGTAAGGGAGAGAGTGCAAGGGGTACAGGTGGGAGACGGCAAGTAGAATGTTTTCTTTTTTTCCTTTCTTTTTTTTTGTCTCAAGCAAAAGATTAGTTTATCTTACCAAGTAGTTAATGGTCTTCTTTAAGCAGTCTGTAATCCAGAGTGATGACTAATTCCCTGCTAGATGGGTCCTTCGTTATTCTCACACATCAAAATAAGGAGGTAGTCCCTGGGGATTGAAATTTGGGTGAGTCAAAAGGCGTTTGTGCTCTTGAGTGTGGAAGGAACAAGTGTTCCCGTGTTGCATTTTTAAAGTGGCAGTTTTCACATTTTGAGCCAATGCCTCAGATGCTTATATGTTCCCTTATCATTTTATTTTGTGTGTTTTGTAAACATTAAAAAAACCCAAGTGCCTTTAAACACTCTTTGCTACAGTATAGAACATTCTTATGCTGTAGTTGGTATGAGGTTTGTCAGTGCGTAGACGATGGGTTTGCTGTGTTTTCTTTTTTTCCCTTTAATCTGATTTAACTGAAAGTTCCTGAGGCATTTAAGTGCCTAATAATCAACAGTGGAGCTCTGTGACTTGTATTAATAAACTCTAGACTTGAAAGGTTCCTGTTCGTCATGTGGATCTTGCCACTTTCCATGCAGTATTTGTCATGAATTAATTCTCATCTAAATTTGCCTCTGATACAACATCTGCTCTCCAGAGCTTTACCTTAGTGTCAGCTCAGACTGCTACATGTCACCAAGAAGGGAGCAAGTGTAAATTCGAGTTGTTCCGAGAATTTAATGTGGACAGTATTTGTATGGTGGAAAGGATCTCTAAACTTCAAGTTAATAGGATTTTGCAGTCAAAAAAGCTAGAATATGAATTCGAAAGGAGAGCGGTTTTCCTTGCTATAGACTCAGCTTGGAGCTCAGTTTTCTTCTGTCTCCTTTTCTTTCAGAGCATTTTATCAAGGCCCTGCCCGAATACCACGTGGTGGCTCCTGTCCAGGTAGATGCCAGTGGGCATTTCCTGTCGTATGGCTTGCACCTTCCCGTCAAGAGCAGCAGGAAGAAGAGAGATGTGGATGGCTCAGAGGATCGGGTGTACTACAGAATTTCTCATGAGGAGAAGGACCTGTTTTTTAATTTGACGGTCAATCAGGGATTTCTTTCCAATAGCTACATCGTGGAGAAGAGGTATGGGAACCTCTCCCATGTGAAGATGATGGCTTCCTCCGCCCCCCGCTGCCATCTCCGGGGCACGGTCCTGCAGCAGGGCACCAGAGTCGGGACGGCAGCCCTCAGTGCCTGCCATGGACTGGTGAGTGCTGGCTCTGCCGTCTCCCTGCCTCCGCTCCACAGGCCCCTAGAGTCTCAGCCTGTGGACACTAGTGAGAACCAACAGGTTCACAGACGCATTGACGTGTGCGAACTGAGCCCTGTGACGTGATGATGCTGGTCTCCAAAGGAGTTGGGGAGAAAATGTACAGTAAATAGAAGGGATCAGTTTGGGAGGAACAGAGAGTGAGGACATGGAGGGTTTAGAAGAGGCAGGGAGAACTCCGGCCAGGGACATCAGGGTGGGAGGGGGAAGAAGAGGACGGGTTTGAGTTTGGTCTTCAACCTCTGGGGCAGCTCTGAGGGTACTGTTGGCCGACTGTCTGGCCAGTGTATTTCGATTTAGCAAAACCTGCATTTGGAGTGAGTGATAGCTGTAGCTGCTTTGATGGAATAGTGGCGTATGTGTACTTCATAATCAGACTTCATGTGGGATCTTGGGCTTCAGTTGATCCCTGTGTGCTTCTGTTTTCTCATCTGTAAAATGGAGATAACAATAATACCTGTCTCATAGAGCCAGGTTTAGCAAACTATGGCCCACAGGCAATTCTGGCCTGCCTCTTGTTTTTTATAAATACAATTTTATTGAAAGACAGATATGCCCATGTGTTTACATATTGCCTATGGCTGCTTTCGAACTACAGGAGTAGTTGGAATTGGGACTGTATGGCCTGTGCACCCAGCAGTATTTGCTATCTGGCTTTTACAGAAAAGTTTGCTGACCCACGTAATAGAGTATTATGGGGATTAAATGAATTAATGTACAAAATAAATAATAAACACTGAATGTAGGCTGCTATTATTATTTTTATTATTCTAATATGCCAGGCACTGAATTGTGTGGTTTATGATGTAGTTTATGTACATTGTCTCTCCCTTTTTGAGCAGATGACAAAGCTTGGAATTGAATAACTTCATTGTGCAAATTAATTTAGGTCTGAGTCTTTTTACTATTGTATGCTACATCTTAAGCCTGTGACCCAAGCTTATTTTTCAGAATTTCAACTTGTATTTAAAAAAAAATTTGGTCCCTTTGTTCTCTCTTATTTCTAGCAACAGCAATAGTGACAGCCACACTAGCAACTGCATGGCAAGCAATGCTTAGGAATTTTGTTGAGATTTTTTTGAGGTTTTTGTCATGCGTGAGTAGGAAGTAGGCACCAACACTGATGGGTGTGCTTAGGAGTGTGCATGGGGAGAGATCCTGAGTCCCTGTGGTGGTTATGCGGGAGTCCAGGGTATCGGCATTGGCACTTGTTCCAAGACTGGTTTGCTGAGCAAAACGGCTAGTGGCATTGGCATTCCCATAGAAGGCACTTGTCCCAAACTCTCCCATCATTACTGCCGTTATGCTAAAAATTTCTGTTATTTGTAATTTGGCACTCTGTTTATTTTGCATCTGTACAGTTTGGCTTTGCTGCAATACTGTGGAAAACATTCATGTAAAACATCATACAGCAGTTTAAACTTTCTGAAGGACCTTTGGGGATGAGTCGCTTTGTACAACAAATGGAAAGTCTTGCTTTGCCTTTTTCTGTAAATCTGGATTTTCATATGTAGGTATTTATCATTTCCTCCTCATTAGATCATAACACAAAATCAAGAATGGTGTCCTATTCTTCTCTTCTCTCTGGGCCTCATATAGTGCTCATTTGAACTGGGGGACATTTCCTGGCTTCATGGAACTTATCTGCTAGGCTTGATCTGGCTTCACATCACGTCTTCCCTTTGCAATCCCAGCTCTCATTTCTAGGAGACAGCCCTGGAAACATCAGTGGCATCTGATCCTCTGTGGCCAGAAGAACAGAAGAAAGAACTCCTGACATTAAAAGAGCTCCCAACAATGAAACATTATTATGCTCATAAAACCCTAGAAAGTTTAAACACAGGTGCCTTTCTGTGGGTTGGAGTAGTGCGGTCTGTGGACCTGTAGAATTAACCTGAAGAATCACCTGGGAGCTCATTAAAGAGACAAATTCATGGGCTTCACTCCAGACCTGGTGTGTCAGAATCTCTGGGGCGTGGGGTGGGCAGAAATGCGTGTGTGTGTTTTAGCAGCTTTGTTGAGATATAATTCACATACGTACAATCCACCTACTTAGAATTCAATGGCTTTAATTATATTCAATGGCTTTACATATATTCACAGAGTTGTGCAACCATCACAATAAATTTTGGAACATTCTCATTATCCCAGAAAGAAACCCGTACCCCTTAGCAGTCACCTCCATTTCTCCAGACTTTCAGTATCTATAGATTTGCCTATTTGAAACCTTTGTTTTAATAAGCCCTCCAGGAAATTCCCATGCCCACTGAAGTTTGAGAAACACTGGACTAGAGCAGTTGTTCTTAACTCTGGTTCAACATTATGATCACCTGGGGAGCTTTAAAATATACCCATGCTCCAACCCCATACTCCAGATGTTCTTGATTTAATTGGTCTGAAAGTAGAGCCCAAACATCAGCATTTTTTAAAGCTCCCCAGGAGATTCTAAAGTGCAATAGCTGTTGCCAACCACCAATTAGTGAGAGTGGCTGTTACTTGGCGGTATTGGCCAATATTACTCTAATGCAGCAGTTCTCCTCAGGTGATTCTAACCAGCAGCCAGGGGTGCAACCACTGCTCTAAATTGCTTTCTAATTTCATCTTGTGCTTTTTAAGGGGAATTGCATACCGTTTAGCATTATTCCAGGCTCAGCAATAGAATACTGGGGCCTTTTCCATTTCAAATGTCCCCAAGGAGCAGTGAGTACCACCCTGTGGGCATTTTTGGATTCAGATTTCAGATTCATAGAAAGTACAGGAGCACAAAGTGGTAGTTAAGGTGATGGAAAATTTTTACATCCAAATTATGGAATGATTTTGCCAGAAGAAACATTCCATTGGGATTATTTGGGAGTCTTTCACACATAATTGGACAGTTAATGGATGGTTATAAAATAGGGCACCAAAAGCCAAATGAGTTTCTTTCCTTTCTGTGAGCACACCACGTGGCTGGCTTCAAGTTTATTTGCTCATGTGTCAAAATTTGGCAGTGTCCACCTAGAGTGCTCCTAGTCAAAAGGGTAGTGGTTGGACTCATGTCTGACTTACGATCACATGTCTGGGGTCTGACCTCTGGTATAGTTGCTCACCCAGGGATGACCCCCACAGTCAAATTCACAAGATGGCAGGCCTAGGATGTGCTGGCTCTAAGCTCTGTCACCACTTCCAGGGGCAGAGGTAGCATTTGGGAAGGCTTTCTTAGGAAGGAGACATTTTCATGTGGACCAGGACATCTGCCCCTCATCTGGGGATGCAGGTCTGGCATATTCTTTGGTTCAGACATGGTCATCTGAATGAGACGTTGAAGCTGTGTTCTCTTGGCGTTGTCTATGATTTGAGGCTCATTTAGTCTCCCCTGGCTCAGACCCAGATGGTTTCAAACTGAAGACCCCAGAAAAGTGACCGATGGGAAGCTGGGGGACAACCTCCTTCCTCCACCTAATGTCCTCTCACATGGCTCTGGTCCCCATCCTCTTGGAGGCTGCCTCCAGCCTCCAAGTCAGCTCATGTCCCCAGCTCAGCAGCTGTCATCTGTCATCTGCACTATTTTCACTACCCTTCCCCCTCAACATTTTCATAACTTCAAAATCATGGAATTTGTTTATTTTGAACAGTTTAGTTGATTTGTCCCATTCTCAATTCTTTGAAAGTGTGTTCCTTAATCAGTTAGATGCTGAATTCATCCTTAGCAGGAATGAGAATCCCAGTAGGGGTGGTTTTGGGTTTGCTACTGCCAGGGGTGCTACAGCACTGCTTCCAGGTGAGTTTGTTATTTGTAGTTCAGTTCAGATTTCTACGCTGGGAGGATGGTGCACAATGTTAGACCGCACATTGTGCACAATACACAATTGGAGTTCTTATTTTTCTTGGGGCACTCTACTTCTACCAAGGGTCTGCTCTAAGCACTTGCCTTCTGGACTGTGTACCTGGGTCAGTGAACAGTTTTCACTCCTGTTCACAGGCATTATTTAATTCTTGTTCACAGCATTTCTTAGCTTAGGTTTTATTAAAGTTCTTGGCTCTATCATAAACCCTAGTCTCAATTCCAGCCCCTGAAGGGAAATTAAATTCTAATTCTTAATCTGAACAGCTGGTCATGGATCTCTCCAGGGCCTTCCAGCTTCAACTCCCACTCAATTTTCTGGCCTTAAGTTTGTCTTTCTCTTTTGGCTCATTGAGGTTTCCTTTCTTGTTTTGAACTCAAAT